AAAAAATTCGTTTCTAGTGGTGAAACAAACATCTTATGGATCAAATACATTTTTTTTCAACATGATTATCATTTATAACTCTAGGCGGAGTGACATGGTATTCAGAACCTAAAATTAAAATACAAAAATTTACCCAAAAGTTTAGATATATCGTGTTAGTTAATGCGGCTCAGTTCGGCGGTTCTATGATTTTTTTGGGGTTAAAATTATTCTATCGAAACTAACCGAATAAAATTATGTTTCAATTTGGTTAGGATGCAATGTTGTCGAGTTAAATCGAAGTGTTAACTCAGTTTGGTTTTTAGTGAAAAATTTGATTAATTTTGGATAGTTTGGTTAACTTTAGTTGGTCAATATTATTTCTGTTAGTTGATATGTCTATATATTTGCATTATCTGTGTACATATTTGCATACTTTTACCCTCTGTTTAGCTTTATTCTGCATCATTTAGGCACCCTTTAGCCATAGTTTAGTTCACATTTGCATCTTAGAATCCTAGGATAGAGTTGTACATATTTCTCCTTCTTTTACCCTTTTTTCAGGTGGTACTTGTGCCTAAATGGAGTTATCCGGCTTACTAGAGCCTAGAGGATTGGAGTAGAGTACAAAGGACTAGATGAGCAGAGGAATTACGAGATTCTGGATCAAACAAGGAATAGTGGAGCAGTAATTAGTCAAGATCATCAAGGAACGCCGGTGAGAGGCACTTGGAATAGCGAAAGGATGAAGTCTCAACAAACCTACTGAAGTTCATGACTTGGGTGAGAATCAGGACGTTAGTGCGCCTAAATCTATGCAAAGATGTCCCAGATTATCCCCTTGTTATGATGAAGCATCAAGACTCTCCGACTGTTGGACCAGGCGCATCAAACTGAAGAAACCGATATCTCCTGATACCGGTACAAACCGATGAGGAAGACCGATATACTGCGCCCATTTAGAGGCTCGTATCGCGACTCGAGAGCTGTTGGACGCGCTGGATAGACAACGAAAATCGGTCACTTCCCTGATATGGAGTGACCGATATTTAATGCATTTTGTTGACTTACCTGGGTCGACCGTTGACTCGGGCTGGGCGATTCATTAACGCGTCGGGTAGATCCGGGTACTGTTCTTAACCCCTGAAAAACCCAAGTCTTGTTTTTCTTTCCTTTTAACGTTTTTAAGCTTTCCATTTACGTTTGAGTTGTAATCGATCCTTAGAGCATCGGATCTTTGATGTTCTAAGTTACTTTGCTTATAAAGTTTCAGTCTTTAGCTTAAAGTTTCAATCTTTTACTTGTTAATCGCATTTATCATCGCATATCATCATCCGCACCTCACTCGAGCTCAATCATGGCTTTTCCCGTAGCCATGAGTGAGTAGTTCACTCATCGAGTATCGGGGTAGTAGATGTAGAAGATTTAGAGCTTGGCTAACTTAGTTTTGGCCTAACCCTTACGTTTCTCGAGCTTAGGTTGAGATTAATGCTCGGTTCTCAGTTACGACTTTGAGCTCTGTCTTGAGGCATTCCGCTACCCGAAAGGTGTTTGATGGAATGACTGACTGACCTTTTGCTCGGCTTAGCGACCCCTGGCCATGAAAGTGTTGTTAGGGGAGCTAAGTGAGCTTATTGGGACTTGATCTTAATGCTTGAAGAGTACTTATATCTAGCAGCGAAAGTTAGTTAGATGTTCGTACTCAACAAAGTGGTTAGTAGCATCACGAAAGTGGGATGATCATTATTCGTGTCTCATGCTTAAGAGTGAGCTTAATACTAAAGGCCTTGAATTTGTTAGCCGAGATCTATTGATCTGCATCAGTTGCTATCCCGATGCTTGGTGCTTTCAATTATCATTGCATTTGCCTTTAAATCTCTGTTTTGCGTATCTCTAGCTTATTTATATTTCTGCGTAGTTTAGTTCATCCAAACCAAACCCTTGTTGATGCTTTAGCTTAATGAAAGTTCTTTATGATCTAGTACTTTGAGTCCTTGTCTTCCTTGTGTTCGAACCCTTTCATTTGCTGCAATTGAATTATGAGTAGGTTGTTAGCTTTGTTAGGTTTTATTTGATAAGTTAACTTGCTTAATGGTAAAACAACTCTCATCATTTGTTCAAATCGATTACCCAATAAAAATGAGATGCATAATTAGATCTTTGGAGGTTCTTAAAAGAACAAAACTTTGGGTAATAAGATGGATTCATTTAGTGATAATGAAATGGTTTTATAACATGGTTTGCGCGTCACACTATAGATTTAGTTAATCGATTTGCAATCATTCACTGAGTGGTTTTGAATTCATCATTTAAACCCTAATTTTTTTTGGAGGTTCTTAAAAATGAGATGCATAACTTCGTGAACCAAATTGTTAGATTAAAGTATGAGAATTTTTTTTTCAAAAAATATAAAAAGTTGTCGAAGTCCCATGAAGTGGAAATAAAAATTTAAACATATACATACCTTGT